CCATAATGACTTTAAAACATGTTTTTGCACGTGAATTTTCTTTAAAAAATTAGAAAAAATGTGATTTTTTTAGATTTTTGATACTTTTTTTCAATATTTTTAGAAAAATCAACACGTAATTTTTTTTTCGGAGCGGTCTGCTTCCCCTTAAAAATAGACTACTTTGAAACCAACCAAATCGTCCAGTTTAGCTTGCAGTGAAAATCATGATTCATTCCAAATAATCAAGGGAAGTTTACAAAATAGCATTGCATCTGAAATACATCAGCTCGCAACTCCATGCCGTGTTTCAATGCTTGTCAACCACCTAATGAGATAAATTTACCATTAACAATGTATCGTCCGTTCAATACCCGCAAGGCACAAAAGCTAACCATAACAGTTAACTGCCCTTTCCATTCTGCCAGCAATCGACCAATTAATAGCTAACGCCCCGAAGTCATTCAATTTATGCGCCATTCGACTGCAAAAACGGGAAGTTTTCATCACTCTTTAACCACTGCCATTTCCATTTGCCACAATAATGGGATATGACAACCGATTTGTAGCGTGCTTTTACGTCACCCTTTCATAAAGGCCTGTCATAACAATTACTTTTTCCTTCGACCAATTCCACCATTATTCCAATTGCCTCCTCCTCCTCCTCCTCCTCCAGGCACCTCGATTTCGCTATCTCGTGAAATTAGCTTTTTTGTATGTGAAACACTTCTGCCATCACTATCGATCAAGACTCGCTTCACCCTTCCCCTCCTGGTCTCGATCGATGGTTTTGCGAAAGCGTATGTGAACTCCTCCAGCGCACTCTTCAGTCGGCCGTGAATGAACCGCGTGGACCGGTTTGGAGTCTTCTTGCTTTCTTCGGAAAGTGTGACCACTTTCTGCAAACGCTTGACTTGGCTCGACTCATCCGACATACAAACGAAAAAAAAAGTTCCATCCTACAGCGCAAAATGTGGCAAATAAGGTTTATAGGTTTCTACTGCGATGCGAGTTCGGTTCCGATGATGGGAATTCAGCATCCTCGTTAGAAAACTCGTTTTCAAACTTCAGATTTTTTTCCCCTATTGGAGGTCACCATCGACCAGTTTCTGTCGCCTCAGTCGACAAACAATATGACATTTGACTCCCTGCTTAAAGCCGAATCGATTCCCAGGCCCAGGTGGGCGAAAAGCATGAAGAAACTTGCAAAACTGGAGAAATTTCACAATCACCTAATCGGATTTGAGTCGATTTTCTTGTTGGTACCGCTAACTAGCTATAGCTAGCCGAGCAGTGCCACTGGAAGCGTGTAAGTACGGTAGCTACTGTGTGACATCTGTTGGCAGCATCAGTGGAGGAGCGACGCCTCATGGGATGAACAGTTAGACGATTACCGGCAGGGTGAGGCGAGTTTTGCAGCACCACTGTTGGTTATAAGCGAGAGTGAATTGAAGTTGGAGCGTAATGCTCACATATAGCTTATAGAAAGAATGAGGACACTTGAAAAACAAAAATGTTGAATGAGGTTAGATGTTGGGATTTGATTGGCTACCGAAAGGGAGGCAGACGATGTCTGGCACTCGCTTTGTCAATCGTTGACTTAATCGGTGCATTGCATTGGTGGGACCATTAATTTGGCGTTTCTGGCTTATAGGGGTGCGCAAGGGACCTGAACTGTGAAGGCACACCCCTTGAAAGTTTATTTTGCACTTAAAATTTATGATGATCTATACAATTTAGGATCTAAATTTCAGTTGAGATCTCTACTTTTCATTGTGATTAAGGACAATATGTTAGATCTGGCTTAGTAAATGAAACAAATCTGTCTAGCCTGTGAATATGAAAGTGTTTAGGCAGTTTGGTTTAGCAGCCTTAGTGGAAGACTGTAAACTATAGTTGTAATCTTTTCGCGACATTTCGATTGGGATCTTTTTTTAAGGTATCAATTGAATGAAAAAAAATAACCCCGGATTGAAATTTTGATTATTTCTGGGGCCATAGAACAGCTTGCAAGAATCTTGAGCTGTTTAAAACATTCCGGTAAGATTGTTTTGATAATTTATGGACTAAGGTAGCGGTTATTAGTGGTGTAGTGGTAAGCGTAAAACCGTTGGTCCCCGGTTCATGGTAGGGTCCAGGTGTGGAAGCTGCCTCCCTGGCGTCGGTAGCATTGGTGCTCAGCACGGAAAACAAGATCGACGGAAAACAAACCAAAAGGAAAAAAGTAATGAAAAACTATAGCATGATGACATGCGCGTCTTAAAATGGTTGCAGTAAGATATTCAATGCTCTCCAAACCATTCTGAAGCAAAGATCTTGGAGTTATATAGGCTCAATAAAGCTTCAACAATGTCCTGAAAATTCATATAACTCCAAGAAGTTCCAGATAGCCTATTGACAACATACCCGTCATGGAATGATATCAATAAGATGCTTATTGCTCTACAAAGACCTCTGGAATTCAGATCTCAAAGATCTACATGATCAATGATGTCTTGAACAATGTTTTTTCGAGCTCGTGAATTTTAAGTGAGCCTTCTGTTAATACTCACATCGTCCAATGGTTTCAATGAAATATTTAATGCTCTCAAAATATTTTGGAGTTCAGATTTTAAAGATTGACAGAATACAATGTCAATGTACAATGTCCTGAACATCTTCATTGGTCCGGGAAGTACACGTGAGCCTTTTGACAGCATGCTCATCATTATATGCAAGGTATCGACTCAATGATGAAAAATAAATTCTATGAGATTCGCTGATTTTCCAGTCAACCATTTTTGGTAGCAGAGTTTTCTGGAAAATTTATAACTTTATGGTTTAGTTGTAAAAATTTGGAATCAGGAATGAGGTATTGATAAGTAGTTTTCTCCTGCTCGGGATCCTTTAAAATTAGATATTGGATATGGGAATAAACTCGCCCTTTGCCTCTGTGCAGATGACTTCTGCACTGTAAAATTTGCTACAGAGAAACAAATTATTGAGATATTGTTAAAAATCTAACACTGCTTCTTGACCCAAAACTCGGCATTTGAATTCTAAATTAGACCAAATGCATTGAAACGCCATTCAAACGCAATTGAATGCACTTAGGCATATCGGATAAACATAAAAATTGATTCGATTGGAGCGCTTCTTTTGTTTTCGAGAAAAAAAAAATGGGTGTAAACATTCATATAACGCGTTCTCATTGAATTAGCTCGTTAGATTTTGAGCTAAAGTATAGAATCAAGCACATAATTGACTTGTTAACTCTGAAACAATGGATTTATTTGATGTTTTCTGCTCGATAGGCCCAAAATGGGCGATTAGGCGGATGCAGTTCTCTATCCTATCTGTAAAAAAAATGGTAGATATCTAAAATCTATAATCCTGTGGGATCTTGGTGGATTCGAAAATTTTATACATTTTAATGCTTACGATTAATGGAAACTTGCTCAAATCCGGGATCGATTTTCTCTAGTCCTACAACTCAAATTTTGGTTTGCGTTTGGGAAGCTGATCGTTTTTCATTGCCCGGAAGTTTTTTTTCTTCAAATCTGGGATCTCAATTTATTATGTTTAAGTAATTTTTCAAAACCCCAGGATATCAAAAGTCACATTATATATGTCTTAGTTTGAAATCTTGTAAATATTTCTTAATTTATAACCTCTGGGATCATGATATTTTTTCGAAGTCCAGAATCATAAAAAAGATGAAAAATTGAGGATCTGGGGCATTCTTTTTAATTTGAGATATCGATTTTTTTTTTAGCATGTTCTAAAATAATTTAAATTGCTCCAAGTTTGAGATGTTGCTGTGTCTGGAATCTTATTAATATTTCAATGCACGTGAAACTGTTTTTAGATTATGAACCTTGATTTGAAATTTTTTTTTACTTTTGTCTCCATATTACAAGATCTTGATTAAGCTCTTTCCAAGTCCAAGATAGTTAGTTAGTTAGTTAGTTATCTTTATTAAGGAGACTTTCAGTCGAACGCTGGTTCGTCTGCGCAGTCCAAGATATAATAAATTTCAAATGGTGTTTGTATTAAGATCATTATACCTGGATAGATGGACATTGGACTCAGCCATCTGTGAAGACAGTTGCAAAGAAGACAAACAACTATGAAACCTTGAAACTGAAATATGCCCAGTAACGTGGGTAGATCACCTTTTCGTGGTACGTTACGGGATGTAAGATCTTGCACCAATTCCTAGTCCTGACTACTTCTAACTAGGAGAACAGGATTTTTCAGTAATCAAAGGAACACATCTTAGTCCTTGTTACTTTTTATGCCTTGTTGATAGTGACAAGACTTGGCTTTGTCCACCGAGGATAATCTTGAAACAAGGAAAAAATGAGTTAGTTAGTCTTCATCTATGTGGTTCCTAATCTTCTATTCGTTGTACTCTAGTTTGAAGTGGTTAAGACTAGGGTTCTGATGCATGGTCATTATCGGTGTCATTCCTTAATTTTGTTGCTAAGGAATCCAATTATATGTTAGTTTTTCAACCCCTGATGAACGAACAATAGTAATAACAGTTAATAGCGGCGAGATTTAAAGAAATGAATTTTTGAACTTGAAAACTCATCGGTAAGTTTTGCGACGTTGAATTTTGGAAGACGAAACTCATAGGCGCATTTGAGTTTTTGAGTTTTTCCAAACACTTGTAGGAACTATCATCACACCAGTCCTAGGCGCTGAAAGTATTCGACACTTTTTTAAGACTTATTTTAGTTCAGCTAATTGAAATGGTACTTTTAGCTTGTTATTGACTCTTCTTCAAATGAAGTTATTGCTTATATAAGGAATGAATTGAATTTTGAATTTGAACAGCAAATAATGTATCAAGTTAATCAACATCATCGAAAATTGTTGTATTCTCTTCAGAACCAACTGCAGCCAACCTATTCAGCACCGCAAATTGAGACGTCCAGCTTCATGTTTCTAATTCTATAGATCAATACAGGCTCAAACACGTGCTTCGGAACCGAATGGCGTCGTGAATGCTTCATAGAATCCAACTGTTTACTTACCGTCCGAAATAACAGCACTATCCACACCACTAATGGCAAAAATATTTTCATTTTTGCTGCAAAGAAAGAGAAAGAGAAAGAAAATAGAAAACAAACATTAGTTATGGTTAGCTCATCGCTGTTGCCAATAATGGTCGATAGGAACATATTTGTTCAGCGCATAGAACACACGTCCGGCTTCCAACCAGAACTGAACACCCCGTGGTCCATGCCAAATTCTAGATAAAGAATAAACTACACCCCCTCGAGCCTTCCCCAGACAATGCAACCGACGTTTCGCCAAAATATCACAAAACAACACAACCTCAAGACCCAGATGGTCTGCTGATCTTCTGGTGCTGCGGCTGCTACTGCCGGCCGTAGCGAAACGAAAATGGCGCGCAATTTTTCCGTTCCTTTCGCATGTTCCACCCCCCCCTCCCCTGCCCCAACGCCTTCCGTACTCCAACCGACCGACCGACCACAATTTTTACTGTTATACACAGCTGAGTGCAACACGACGACCTCGTTCGATGCTATCTCTCCAGACTGCCCTCGCTCGCGCTGGTCGTCCCGAATGGCAGGCGTGTGGAAAACGTGTAACATGTAGCGTGTCTGAGGCTGTGCCTCTCGGTGTCCGGGCGCCCATGGGAAAGTCCTACATTTCCTCTGCGTGACTGTTCTATTAGGTCTGGGGTGAAAGAAAGATGTCCACGTATCGACAGCTTCCAGGGGCCGGGAAATGTTCTCGGCGAATTTGGTCCCCGGATGCGGTCACCTTCGGTCAGCAGCCCAAACGCCCATTGCTGCGCCGAACGTCTCGTGCAAGCTATCGTTGTTTCAGATCATTTCGATAATTTTGCATAATGACCGTTGCTTCTACCTACTGCTATTGCGCGAATCCGACCCGACGAGATCTAGCTAGAAACCAAATGTTACGTAATCCCGGCAACGATGGGCAGAGAGTAAGCCACAGCAGCTGCAGTCAGGCGCTACCGTTTCATTTCCCATTTGCGTTTGTTCAGTGGGATGGACGACCAAGATGGAAAACAAATGATGAGCTGACCGGCCGTCGTCGTCGTCGTCGTCGTCGTCGTCGTCGTCGGTGCTGGGTGTCGGTTATTTATTTTTGCTTTATTGCACGACCAGACAGCTGATGCACAAAGGCGTTAGATGAGAGATGCAATTTCCTCTTCTCGGCTTGTAAGTTGAAATTATTTTTACTGATGGAGATATGGGGTTTGCTTCTCTTTTTTTTTCTATGCTATCCAATGTACGAGTGTGTAATGGAATCACTTGCTGCTGCTGCTGCTGCTGTGAAGGAGATTTCCTCACACTTGTCCTATTTTTGGGGTGGAAATTTATGTCGATTTTTTCATACTGGTTTTTCAGTGGACAAATTAACCCATTTCGCTGCGGAATGTTTGGAGTTGATGTGAGGTTGGAAAGTGAAAATTGGGAAGACCCACTTCATTTCATTTTTTATATTGATTTCGATTTCTAAGCAAGGTAATTGAGTTGTTCGGCTGCTGACATTAATGGATTATGATTTTGTTTTTCATACATCAGCTTAGAGGAAGGAAATGGGATCAACAGTGAAGTGCTTCGAAACATTTTTTGGTTCAAATGCTTGTCTTAATGTAATCGATAGAGAGTTTGGTGCACTGAATATTAAGGACATATGATCAAATGAATGAAGGCACAATTTGTTATAATATTTACTGGGGTAAATTTATAATTTTTTCCTCAACATTGGTTAGGATTAGCTGGGATTCCTCGGCGATATTCTGAGGATTTGATCAAGTTATTTTTTGAACACTTAAAATCGATCATGTAATGCAACTATAATTTAATAAGTCTTAAATATATGCATGTGCTTAAATCATACCCTAGTAGCACCCTTGTTATAAATTGGTCTTGAAAACTTCTATACGACTTATTTCAGTTATAAACAAGTTGCTGCAACTTTTTGGGACAGAATTGTGCTACTTGGGTATTGCTGTAAGTTAATATGAGGAGTGAGTTAACCCACGCCAATTTGAAAATAGAATAAAATAAACGAATTTAAGATTTTATGTATTAGAATTCCATGAAACAATAAACCACGTTTGTGCTAGAATTCAGCTCGTTTTTTTTTATTTTTTTAAGGTCATTATCATTCAATAAATTATAGAACGAAAGTGGCTCATCTCATCGAAATGATGTTTGATGCAAAGTTCTAGGAAACTGGCATTTTTTATGTAATGCCTGGGCAAAAAAAAAGTTTTTTTTGCGTAAAAAACAATATTAATTATTAGGGTTTTACATTTTTACTAAACGTTGTTGGTTTGAGATTTTGGACAAGTTTATAGTGTCCATAGTGTCCAACATAAAAAAGTTGTCATTTTTCATAAGCTTTCAAATAAAAATAGGGTTAGGACTTTATAAAATGTACATTTTTTATATTTATATTTTTAAAAGATTTTTTTATTATTATTTTTTTTTCAAAAATATGTGTTTTTTTCAGTGTGCATTTTTTTCTAAAAAGACAATCTACTTTCCTACAACTTTGTTTCATACATCATTTCAATTATATGAGCAATGATTGATTGAAACACTTCGAAAAAGCTATTTTAAAAATTAGGCGCTGGGAAAAATGGCCAAATTCCAGCACAACCTCGCTTAATTGCCCCTAGTAAACAATTATGCGAAGTTTCATGGAATTTGTAGAGACTAAAATAAAACCGATTGGTCAGTTGGCGTTGACTTGGCGAGAATTTGAAAATAAGATTTGTTTCTCAGTACCAGTGCTGCATAGTCTCGACAATACACGGTGATACCTATACAAAATTCACCAGGTGAATCTTTGTCATCGACGAAAAAATGAAGGAGATTTGACGAATGTTTTTTGATGATCAAGTCTGTCAGTGACTATGTGAAAAACAATTTTGTCGATATCGCACGAAAGTCTGCCCATGACAATGACAAATCTCAGCACTGACATTTCCTAGAAATGTTATCTCTTAAAAAATAATTGAGTGTTGCATTTGATTAATGATATCTCACTTCATTTTCACAAACACTCATGTTGAAATTTTGTATCACCTTGACCAGTGAACCAAAGAAAATGTTAAGGTTACCTCAGCATAGTCAAATCATTGTGCCAAAGTGTAGATATTCTGGTTAAAGTACTCATTGAAATATTGTAACGCGATTCATTTCCATGAATATGAAGTAAGTTAACAATTAATTTGTTCAGTTACCTACAGAAAACGTTCTGCAAAGTATAGTGGGAAAGTGACGAGCGAAACTTCAGTAGGGCGAGGAAGCTAATATAGATAGAAAATAAATTGTGGACACACATTGATTTTCCCTTGACTCAATCTTAAAAACAAACAATCAATTCAAATAATAATTATAGTACTTCGGAAAAGTTAAGATTTTCTTCAAAAAAATGTTACAAAGGCTTGGACTTGCTTTGGATCACATTAAATGAGTTCTGGAAAATTTAAACCAATTCGAAATATGTTGAATTACTTTGAAACAGTTCTGAACTACTCCAGAAATATTTGGACACAGTTAAAAAAACGATGAACCACATCAAACATGTTTGGAATCACTTTTAAAAGTACTGAATCCGTACAAAAATGATTAACCTTATTTTGGAACTGATTCAGAACTTTTCTAAGTGATTGCAAACATTTCAGAACTGATTCCATACTTTCAAAGGTGATTTCAGTACTTCCAAACTTTTCGAAGTGATTGCAACTCATCAGAGCTGATTCAGCACTTTCGAAAGTGATTTTGAACGTTCCGCAAGCGTAAATATAGTTCCCGAAGTTAGTTCAACCAATTTTGACTTGATTCACTATTTTCCGAAGTGAGTCCAAATTTTTTAGATCTGATTCAATATTTTTGATGATTGTGTATTGGAAACGACTAAAACAAATATTTTAAGCATAAATTATTTGTGAAAAAATGTTTATAATTTTTACTAAACGTTGATCTTCTTAATTTAATTTAACCCAATATCAGAAAATTTAGTATTTTTCATAAATTTAGATAAAATATGTTCGTTTGTTTTTGAAGTTTTAACCAGTTTTTTTTTTAATTTTTTTCATTTTTCCACAACTTTGTCGCAAACATAATATCGATTAGATGATCCTTTTTTGTGATATCATTAATTGAAAATGGACTCGTCGGTTAGCGTTGATTTGCTCTATATCAACACATGATATCTCGGACCAAAAAAAAAAAAAAAAAAAAAAAAAAGTAATATATAGTTAGCAAACTAAATATTCCTGATTTTTCGATTTCGGATAACACAGTCCCGATATAGCTTGGTCACCGTGAATCGCTTTTTTAGGTACTCTCGGAACTGAAAAAATAATATTTTTACAAAAAAAAAAATAAAAGATCCTGAATAAAGGCGTGATAAAATGCAACAAGACTCTTTTTAATAAATGCAAACAGCATTTAAAATAAAAATTTTGAAAAATCGTCTTTTTAGGTCTTTTGACTAGGTATAACCAGGAATGGAAAATCATTTACATTCATTTCGTGCATTCATTTACATTCATTTGCCTCTAACTTTTTTCATCAACAGAATACTGTAAAATGATGTATAAAGCTTTTGTAGTATTTGACATGAACTACAACTTTTGCTTATAAATAAAATCTGAATCTCTTATGCATGACGAAATAGAACTGGCAGAACATGTTATTGATTTTCAGTGAATGCAATTTACATTCACTGAAAAACAATGGTGGGTTCTTATCGCTCTGATTAATCATACATAAGAGATACAGATTTGAGTTGTTTACAAAAGATGTAGCTAATATCAAAGCCTACAAAACCTTCAAACACTATTTTTTGGAATTCTGTTGATGAAAAAAGTTAGAAGCAAATGAATGTAAATGAATGCACGAAATGAATGTTAATGATTTTCCATCCCTGGGTATAACCCCTTAAGAAAGATGCAAAGAATTCTAAGACCCATCCTAAGTATCACGGGAGGGGTTGAATTTCGTTAGTAAGGAGGATAAGCCATAGGAAACGTTTAATATACGTTATTGACAATTTATCATAAGCCCAAAT